CATAGACAGATTTTCTGGGGGTGCAGGGGGGTGCTACCCCCCCCCCAATATTAGCTATAACCCCCCAAACAAAATGTCCACCCCTCCAAAAAAATTTTCAACCCCCCCAATATTCGGCATAATAAAAAATAATTAAATAATCCACTCCAACGTGCAGAGTGTTGATGATACAAAATAAACGTAGGAGTACACTCAAATAGAAAGCAATATTATTGGAGCAATTGTAAAGTTTTGAAACTCTATTATCTCCCCTGAATAGAGTTTGCAGTGCCTTGTCATGCAAATAGCTTGCTTGCAAGGAACGTTTGGAATTTTTACAAACATTATTTTTCGTTTTTAATTCTTTTAGGTTTGTAATTCGTTTTTAATTCTTTTTAATTTTTTAATTCGTTGTTTATAAAAGTAAAAGCATATTGTGTATTGGCCTATTGGGTTTACACTTTTACAGGTTCATTTAACTTTAACTCTCTCAAGTCTCAACAGACAATCGGACACAGGGCCGTAGCGAGGGGGTGTTGGGGGGGGGGGGTGGTTAACCCCCCAACTTTTGTAGAATTAACATATTTGGAAAATCGGGTTGGCCATTCGGAAAATTACGGCAATAATAGTATAACAAAATTTTAATTGTTTAATTAAACAGAAAAAATATTATAATATTATAATCAGTATAAAATGATTTACGAAATCACGGCATTTACATGGATAACGTTTAACAAATCGTAAATCGGTAAATTTTTTTCGGTTTCAGTACTTCTCAGGGCCGTAGCAACCGGGGGGGGGGGAGGCAGCACCCTTACAATAATTTGCTGATAATCAGTCTTTTTTCAAAATCATGCACACCTTTATCATTTAAACAATTGATTAATTTTAAGCGGCTACATTATCCATGACAAACCGCAAAGAATTATATTACCCATACTCTTTCCTGCAACTTCTCCAATATATAGCTAAATACGACTTCGCCCATTTAATTCTGCTAAATTGTAATCAAATTGTAAATTTCGACATACTAAAACTCTATTAACAACTCAAACCGACTTTACCACGTAGCTCAGTTGGCAGAGCATTGGACTAGCATCCCAAAGGTCGCGGGTTTTATTTCCACCGTGGGCAAGCTAACTTTTCAGCTTGCCCGGTGTGGATCAGTGGATGCATACTCAGAGTAACATCACAAACATCATATTCACTTGAGTACACAACACCAACACACACACATAAATCATATCAAAGATTACACTGATGTCGAAGGAACTAGATTCAGTTCCGAAATATCAACAAGTCGAACCGACTTGACCACGTAGCTCAGGTGGGAGAGCATTGGACTAGTATCCCAAAGGTCGCAGGTTCGACTCCCACCGTGGCCAGGCACACTTTTCAGCTTGCCCACTGTGGATGCATACTCAGAGTAACATCACAAATATCATATTAAAACTCTGTTTTCTGACCATCAGAATTCTGTCAAAACTTCCCCCAAAGTCCAGGAAATGGCATTTCAGAGAATCTAAATTTAAAAATTTCCTCGGGCCTTCGGCCCTCGTTCCCAGCCCCCAATCAAAAAGAGCTTCCTACGGCACTGCATACTTCTGTAATATGTCTTTGTGGAAACTATGTGGGCTATGTGTATTTTTGTTTGTAAATTGCGTCTTCATTTTCCAGATAGCAAACACCTTCGTTGCTTCGTATGCCATGAAATATTCGGAAATTTTTTTCGTCATTCGGAAATATTTGGCCTACACCCCCCACCCCCCAACTATACATGCTAGCTACGGCCCTGATCGGACAGGCCAAATCCATTGATATGACAACTTCAAAAAACGTTTTTTCGAAGCTAGAAATCATGATTTTTTTCAAATTTTTCCAGGGATACTTTGTTTTCTGCTCTCTAGACTCCCCCTCGCGGCTCTAGTGCTCCACCCCTAGAATATAGACCTTACTGGGGTTTGGTGACACTTTGTGTTGCTTCAGTCACCTGCTCATGGCTCACCCCCCTAAAATTTCTGGCACCACCCCAGTAAAAAATATGAAAATCCGTCTATGGTTTGGTGACACTTTGTGTTGCTTCAGTCACCTGCTCATGGCTCACCCCCCTAAAATTTCTGGCACCACCCCAGTAAAAAATATGAAAATCCGTCTATGGTTTCGGGCACAAATATATTTCTCTTTGATCTTCACCCCAGGCCCTTCCCTAACCCAAACACTATTGTGAGCGAAACGTGAGGATACAGTATATCCGAAAATTATAATACAGAGGTTCAGATTTTGACTTCCACTACCGCTACCATTAACCAATCACATACATTTATTCTACCCGATTGACCAATCAAATTCGTTTTAAGCGTGTGAGAGGTAGCGGTAGTAGAAGTCAAATCTGAACCTCTCTAATGTTGAAAACCATAAGAAAATAAAAATTAATAGAAATTTCAAACACAACACAGCACATGTCATGAATGTGTTCCTATATTTCATCTAAACTATTCGTGCCAATCGAAGTATTTATTATTCTAATGCTTTTGTGCTATTTAATACAAAAGGTTCATTAGAGCTTGTCTGCCTCAGGCTCTACGCTCTACCGTGAATAACAGTATAGTCACAATCTACAAGTATTGCTAGAAACAATTTCATGCAGTAATTCGTTTTATAAAAGCGTCTAGAAAGTTCCATGTTCGTCTTGTAGTGTAAACACAAAGTTATGAAGTGGCACTAACATTTACCATATGGCATTAAATCCGAATGATAGAGATTGCGATTTATTTGGGAATGTAGGCAGAAGCATTTTGGAACTTATATGGAAAAAAACTTGGAATAAAAATGGAATACACTGGGGAATGCGTTTGGAATGAAGAGCAACGCATTTGCTACTCATTAGAGAACACTTTCCCAGCGATGCGTCCCTTTCGCTTTTTATACTGTATTAGGGACCGGTCATAATATTTATGTTGGGGGGTGGCACCGAAGAGAAATGTTTTTCGTGGCAAAAATTTTTCTGACCCAACTATTAAAAAGACAAAAATTTGATTACCCAACCTCAAATATCAATAAAAAATAATTACCCACCCCTGGCCAAAAACGTTACAAAAAGATACCATTCAGTTGTCACACATGTCCTTTACCACTTCTGTGACATGAGTTTGATAACGGCTTGTGAAATTGTCTGCAGTCTAAAGTTTCATATTGTCTACACATGTACTTTCTTTGGAAACACCCGATTTGTTTTGTCAAAATGATCAAGATAGTGACTCGGATTGATTCACATATTGTATTGACAAATGACTGTTGACATTGCTTTACAGACAACAATATTTTGACAGTGAGTCATGTTTTTGAAATGACAATAAATTTTTATTACCCAACCCTTGAGTTGTTTTGTTTTTCATTTACCCAACCTTTTACTCACTCAAAATTTTGTTTACCCAACCTTTTTCCCTTCGGTGCAACCCCCCACCATAAATAATGACCGATCCCTTAGGGTGTGTTTGAGCAATACCGTAGCATTAGAAAACAATTTTGTTTCAATTTTAATACTAATTTACTTTTTCAATAGGCAGCTAGTGAGTAAAGATGAGAAACTGAAGCTTGGACTCAGCTTCGTTTATGATGCTCCACCAGGATTTAAAGGTTTTTAAAACCTAAATTTAAGCTGCTTACCGTACAAGAGATCAGTGGCGGATACTTCGCGAAATATTGGGGGTTGGGGGCGAATTAGTTTGTCAACATATGACCAACCTTTGTAGGTGAAAATCTTAATGCTTTAAACTTTTTTGTCTTAAAGTTGCCATGCAATATTTAGCTTAATTTGTAGTGTAACAATGCTTTCATGGTTGAAAAATTATTGTTACAGCTTTGTTACACAGTTATTCAGCTATCATTCAAAGGCTTTCAGAAATTAATGTGGGCGGTTGCCCCCATGCCCCCTCTCTCTAGTGTCCGCTACTGCAAGAGACCTACTGTTCGTGACCGGACTATCACTTCACCAGCCTAAGCTGCATGCTGGTACTTTTGAAGAAAAATTGTTACAAAAATCCAAATTTATTGCTGATGTTAATAATCTTTTCTGCTAATTTGTATTATTCTTTTTTTCTTATAATTTTTCAATTTGGACTTTTATCCTGGGCTGAACATTTGAGCAGACAAAAATAAGGTAGGCATATATGGTCTGCATGTACGTCACCTATTAAGCATTAACTGCATTTTTAGTGTGAAGTTTCACTTCACACTATTGTGATGGCTGGCGAATTCACATGAATCAGTCAGTCAGTCAGTCAGTCAATCATAGAGTAAACTTTCCGGGGGGTGTATACGATTTATGTTTGTAGTGATTTATTGTACTTAGTCAGTACTTTGAAGGTTATTTAGGCAATTTCAGTTAACTTGTTTACATATTCTGTTATCCTTTTGCCAAGTTCACAAAAATTTCGAGGAATCGCTTTCGTTATTGTATTTTTTTGTAAATTTTAGAACATTCGCTTCTCATGTTGTGTAAAGGATCTTTACCCCGGAACACCCGATTTTTTCTTTAGTAGTGCAAATGCGCATGCGCTATCAAGCCGTAGATCACGATGGCGTGACGATATGCTAGGAAGGGGTGACAATGTTGTTTTCAGATGTATAAAGATTTTAGTCGTGAATATTGAGTAAATCTTTGAAAATCTACGCAATATATAAATTGATCTTATGCATTACGGGCGTTCAATTAAGTGCCGATAATATTTAATTTAGACGGTATATTCATTATACAGAGCTCGGAAGGAGCTAGATCGCCTAGACAGTGCAGTCAAAGTGTATAAACATTTCAGACGTATAAAATATTGAGTCGAAAATCTTGATTCTAGTCATTCAATTGAGTGCCGATATTATTTTCACGGCATACTCATTATACAGAGGTACAGTATGTATATAAACATTTCAGACATGAATATTGAGAAAATCTTTGAGATTCTACGCAATAATAGTAATACAATATATAAATTGATGTTATGCATTACCGTCGATATTATTTAGACCGTGTATTCATCATACATTGTCATTGACTGTATAAGGTGCTACATCACAGAATAGATGGCTATACTCAGTACAAAGAGCGAAAAATTGCATCAGATCTGTATCAAGCATAAACAACTATTAAACAGAAGCGGGTAAACGTTTGTACGGCGTTTACGAAGAAAAAAACTTGCGAGACTAAAGAAATCAGTTGAGTCAGAGCTCCTTATATAAATAAGAAAGACGAGGAGATATAGCCAATGTGTTATCGCCAACGTGTTATCGCTAATCGCTTAATTGGCTCGCCAACAAGCTTTATGCAATAGAAGAAAAAAGCAAGGAGGTACATGTAGCCAACACGGACCTTGTCCTTGTCTTTGTTTACTGTCTAGCACAACGCCGTTGTCAACGGTGCAAACTCGTGCTCAATGCAACGATAACTCTACCAGATCTTACGAGAATCAATCTGTAGGATTCTGTACACAGAACTGTATCAAAGCTTGTCAAAAGTGCTTTATTTAATAAACACTGCTAACAGTGAAACTATTGAAATCTGAAGTGATACAGTATTTATATTCAACACATGCGAAAAGCTAAAAATAGACACAACGTCACACTGGGAAAAGTCAAAGGTCAATGAGACTTGTTATTGTGAAAATGTCACAATTAAGTTAAAATGCGGAAGCGGATGGAGCGGATCCACGGAACGGATATGCGGATAAAATACGGAACGGATGAGGATAAAATGCGTCTTTTAATGATGTAACGACGTAGTGCTTATTATTCATAACATATCTTATACAGCTATTTCAATTATAGTTTATTAGATAAATTTAGCATAGCAGTAGCCTCGTGGGGATGCTTTTAGCTACAGCTGCAAATGCAAATGAAAATTTAGAATATGCAAAATTTGGTTGTTGGTGACACAATAAATAGATGAATTGCATCAGTTTCACAAGGCACGTTTCTGATGTGTTAGGCTTGTTTCAAACGTCACGCTACTCGTGTGCCGAGCGTATTAAAAGCAATAAATAATGAGATGAAATGCCTTTGGTAACTGTTTATTTCGTAGTGTAAGCCATCAGCTTTTCTAGGTTGTCGGCGGACCCTATATAGTTCTTGCAGTGTCTTTTTCAATTTGAAACTTCACACTATCCTTGGATCCCTAGTCTCTCTTCGTTTTGATTTTCTGGCACGTCTTTCTTTCCGCCCTTGGCAGTCTCTGCGGGATTGAGCATTGGATGATGGCGCTTTCCGCATCCTGGAACAAAACAGCCACGACACCTCTTGCAGTTACTGGCGAAATGACCCTTGCAGAGACAAAGGTTGCACAGTCTCTTCGTGTTTACGATGCTCTTTCGCTCTTCATAGGGCTTTCCTTGAAACTTAAAACACTTTTCGATTGTGTGACCATCTCTGTCGCAAAATAAACATTTTGGTCTGCCCGTCAGGTTCCCATGCCTTGAATGATCCCCAGAATGTCCCTTTATCTCTGTGTTTGAACCGTGTGATAGGTAAGTCGACACATTCCTGCCCACTCGAGGCCCCTTACCAAATTCCTTTTTGTTGTTGTATCTTGCACTTATGAGTCGACCATATTCAGTGTTGGCCAGCTTTGCCTTCTTAACAACAAATCTCGTCAGCTGCGCAAAGTCTGGTTCTTTACTCCTATCTCTTGAGTTT